GGCCGCGGGCCGGGGGCGGCGGGGAGGGGAGCAGGATGGCGGGCCGGCCGGCGCCAGCGCACTACAACTCCCGTGGTGCTCCGCGCCGGCTCCCCGGGGACGCCGCGCTGGGGGCGCTGCCGGGGCGGGGGCGGCGGTCGGAGGTGGCGGTGGGGGCGGCCCCCTCGGCCCCYTCTCCTCCGTCTCCGCCCTGTGCCCGCTGCACGCCGCACCGCGTTCCTTTAAACCAGCCCAAAATGCTGCCCGGCCCGCCCCCGGAGTGCTCKCTGCTCGCTCGCTCTTACTTACGGCTGGGGCAGTCCCCCGGGCCGGCGGTGCCCGCCCGTGCCCTCCTCGCTTCGGCCGGAGCCGCTGCGGGAATGTGCCGGAGCAAAGCCAGCCCCGGGCGTGCCGGTGCCAGCGCCAGCGCCARCGGACCCCGCGTTAGCGTTTCTGCTCCTTTTCTTGTCGGAACAGGAAAGAACATCTTGTTCCAGTGTGTAAACAAAGGGAGTTGATGTGCTGCGCTCGTAAAACCGCCGAAGGAGGTTTTCTTTAATTGGATGACCCAGGATTAAGATGCCCACGAAATGCGGAGCGAAGGGACTTGGCACACCTTCCTGAGTTGCAGACTATTGTAATGCGGGTTTTTTTCCCCGTTTCCTCCCCTCGCCCAGCTACTAAACCGCATTAGGAATATTATAGAAATACTCTTGGTATTTTTTGTTCGGATTGAAACGAGTTAGAAATTATTCAGGGTTTTCTGTATCCATCTATTCAGTGCCTGCTCCCTCCTTTGTCCTCTCACCAGCACCCGTGTTACGCCTTGCATTCTTCCTTTGGTAACATTAAGCCTTATTTTTCCGTAAATACACAATTTACTGTGGAACAAAAATCACACCCAACTACCACAATGCTTAGCCTGTTTTTTTATCAAGAAATGGACCAGGGCATTCAGTCCCTCAATGAAACAGAAGTAAAAACCTGACACCGTCCCCCAAACACTCTAAAAAAGCATTGAGTCTGGTGTTTTGACTCTTCATCCTCATACTTATGTTTTAGTGGGAAGATAGCCCATCACCATAACACCTTTCCAGATTCCATGATTCAATCCCACTCACATAAAAATATTAAAAACATGAGCAAAACAAAATTCTGTTAAAACAGCTGCTTCTAAATTTAGTTTTGGTTCTAGTGTATATAGTATTATCCAGAGGATTTGAATATGCCTCAGAAATGTCATTGAGAAAAATCTTGCAACAGCAATGTTTCAGGTTTGACTGAGGTTGTGCAAAAAAATTTACAATCAGCCAGTTGTCAAAACAGGTACATGTTCCTTTGTTATTTACTGAATGACGTCTTTGTCACCTTAGTAACATTTAGAAAGAAAATGCTTGCTGTTAGCATGACATCTCTGTTTTGTGGTTTTGACTTAATTTTCACCTTTTTATGWCTCTGTCCTACCTCGATTTTTTTACCTTTGCATTTCCTTGCCTTTAGTAACTTTCTATTCCAAATCATACAGGTTTATATTCACATCTCATCGCCCATGCTAAAAGCCTGTGTCTGTCGTAATTGAGTACTTACAACAGCCTTTGAAATACCTTCATTGTTTTCAGTATTGAAAATACAACAAAATAAAAGTCTGTTGGAAGAGTGAAAGAAATGTCCACCATTAGTTCCCATCTATTCACAGGTAGCTGCTTCATGTACATTACATGAACTTCTGTCACTCAYGAGACATCTGGTGTTGCAGCGGTGGTCTTGGACAGAAAAGGTCATTTGTTAGGAAAAGAAGTTCAGTGAGCCTCTAAAGCTCATCTGACTTGGTGGATTTTTTTTTGGTTGGTTTCGTTGGTTTCTAGTATTGTCTGTTGMAGTCAGGATTAGACTTTCATTTGGTGTTTCTGTGGACACCTGGAATAATCTTTCTAGTTCTACATCCTTGCTATTAAAATTGGGAAGAAACAAGACCAGTGTTATGCTATCACTTAATTTATTTGCATCATTCCCTTGCAATTCAGTCATAGAATGGTTTGGGTTGGAAGGGACCTTAMAGATCATCTAACTCCAACCACTCTGCCATGGGCAGGGACATCTCCCACTAGACCATRTYGCTCAATGCCCCATGCAGCCTGGCCTTGAGAATTCCTTCTGTTGTTCACATGAAAATGGTTGGGAATCATGCACTGAAGGTTAGTGTCACTACCTTTGCTGGCGAAGAAAACCACTAATGCTATTTGCTGTATCAGAGCACCCACCGGAGAGTACCCACCAGAGCAAAGAGCTGGGGGCTACTCCCTCTGTTTCATGATGGAAAAAAAAAAAAAAAAAAAGGAATCTGTACTCCTAAAATAGAAATGTTTTTTTCTGCAGTAAATCTTGTAGTTGTATCCAATAAAGTTTGCCAGCATAACAGAAACCAAGTGCCCCAACAAAACAATTCCCCTCCTATTTAAGAGAGTTAAAAATCATGGGTAAGTCCTGAAGCACAGCAGAAAAAGGTCAAGTTCATCTTATGGAAAAAAAGCATTTCCTATTGGTTATAGATAGTATTTACTGAATGAATTGGACATGACACTACAAGAGATCATAACTCGCTCCTCTAACTGAATTTGTGATAGGAAAATTGAAAAATGGTGAACTGCCTTCAAGCTGCAACCATTGGAACTATGGCTAAAAGCTCAGCATATATAACASATATAAATGTGTATATATTTGTGKGTGTCTGTCTGTGYCTGTCTCTGTGTCTGTGTGTGTAAATATTTACAGCACATTGTAAACCAGATAGGATAACCTGCAAATACTGCAGACAGATGTTGCATTAAAATATATAATTAATTTCTACCTAAGCAATATTTATGTGATACTACAGTACCAGATGTTGCTGTTTTGACCAGGGATGGAATCAGTTATTTATTATGGCTGCATTTGTGTCCTGTTGCTTTTTCTTGCATCAGTGGAACGGTCATATGGTACTAAAATAATATTGGAGGCTGATTTCTGAGCTTCAGYACCCAATGAATGCATTTACCTGAACTGCTGTAGAAGTTTCAGCCCTGACATYATCTAGTGAGCCACCTGAAGCATATTATTCTTCTTGCATCCACCATAGAAAAACTACTTTTGATGTCGACTGCCAATTTTTATTCTTGTGTACAGTAATACTCTTCTGTACAGCAGAAATCTGTGACCTTCACTATTTATACAAGTGTTTATATATATATATAAATATGCATTGCTTCAATACAATGAAACACTGTTTTAATACAAATTCTGGTTTCAGCTCTTACAAAAAAAAAACTAGTATTAGCTGGTACATGGAAATGCCGTATGTGTGCAGAATGATTTATTCACAGCAGGACAATTCAAYCTAATGTGCCACTTCTACAATGGAAATTATATTCTCTACAATTGAACAAGAGATGCTGAGTTACAAGATAATTAAAAAAATATCCCAGAAGATACTAATGGAGTCACTGCATTTTCAAAATTAGTGTCAGCACAGTGGTGACAAAAAACAAACCAGAAAGTTTGGGTTTGTGTGGACTCAGGGAAACCAAAGCCATTGGTATTGACAATTGACAGTTAACCACTTACAGATACTCTTGGCATAGTTGTAGAGTCTGTTTTGTACTACTGATTTAAAGAATRCCTATTGCCAAGTATCCAGACATTTTGTGCTTCACAGCATTTATTATACTTAACGGAACTTTTCTCTTTTAATCATATGCCATATGGGCCTGAATCAACATCCCTGAGTTTTTAAAATGTGTTAATAATTCTTAATAACAAGCTCAGAATCTACTGTTATCAGGATGATGTTACTCTGTTTGGAAAGTCTCCTGAAGCTGATGAAAAAAATCAAGTCCTATAGGTTGTACTTGAACATGTCAATAAGGAAGGATGAAAGTTAAATTTTGCTAAATGCTAAACCAGATGCACAGCATATTCTTTTTTTGAGCATGCCATTTCTTCTTTGAGATTGGTAGAGGTCATAGTATGTGCAGAAGAGCTCACTCTTCCCCCCTCTCAAAAAAAAAAAAAATCAAAAACATATCTTTCAGTTCTCAACTTAAGGTGTACATTATTTATGTACACCTAAAATATGTACATTTACTAACCGTGATACATGCAGAACTATTAATAACAGGGCACTGTAAAATCTAAAGTCACCTGAGACATATCTGACCATAGCAAATTTTCAAACAGTGAAAGCTTTGGCTACGAATACCCAGGATTTATTCTATTGGCTTTAGAGTTCACCACAATTGTCATTACTTTAGTCTCAGTCCAGGAATGACCAAATACTATAGATGTAGGGTTATTTCCTTTTCTCCCTCCTAGCCCTCCAGCAGCCAGATAAACACTCAGGTCCTTTTTGTGGCCCTGCAGCTGGTTTAATTGCTCCAGTTGCAGCTAAGCTGAGGTCCACTTTGCCCTCCCAACATGTGAGCAGTGATACACCCAGCACAGAGAGCTTCCCAAGCAGTCACCTTCCAAACTGMCTCCAGGCAGCGCTTCCCTTGGCCATGCTGGCCATCATTTCTAATGCTACAGATATGGAACCACCCTGTCCCAAATCCATAGGGACAATTTCTACGAGGAGACCATTGTCTTTGAACAATGAACAGTTTACAAGATGCCATAAAAATGTTGGAAAGAAAACATTTCTTTGTGCATACACAACAGAAGAGCAGAGAACCTGCCTCTGAGGCATTGCACTCCAACTGCATACGGATCACACCTCCTGGCAGTTCTGTAAACCTCAGAGGAACAGGAACTGTCTGCAGATGGCTCACAGGATTACTTTCATTTTTATATGACACAGTTTAGTCAAATCAAAACCAGAGCAGCTGATAGTTTATCTCATCTGCTCTTTTTTAGATGCTTATCTAGTTGATTATATGGAAGTTGCTGTGTAGATTATAAATATGCAATTACAGGAGAAAAAAAAACTTGAAACTGTTTACTCGCAGTGTCTGATTTAACAGAAATTACATATCTTCCTATCTAGAAAGTGATTCTGGAATTCTGAATGTATGGATGCTATTCTAATGCCATATTTCAACCTACAGAACTTCACCCACAAGATAGACTCATAATAAAATATCTCCTCGAGTTACGTAGGATTTCAAGGAATTGTGAAGGTGTCCCAGAGGAATTAGGGCAAAATTTATACAACATACTCATGTTGAGTCTCAAGTTGTCAAAACAAATCAACAATTGCAGCACAAGTATGGGTATCCACAACTTCATATGAAAGACTGAAGCTTAATATTAAAACTACTTRCCAAAATTAAGAAAAATGATTMATGCAGTACCATTACAGCCTACCCCTTGCATTTTTTTTTTTCTGTGAAAGACTGATATAACAGMGTTTTTGGCAATT